ACTTATCAGCGGTAACGAAAGCTGCAGTGTGAAGAATTATACTATATTTTAGTGGCCATTTCAATACTTCTTCTTTAGTATCTAGAATACCACAGCTACATCCAATCAGTTCGCTCAAAACTTGAAAATTTATAACATAGAAAACGGAAATCTCGCCACAAACCTCGGAAATGAAACCGAGGAATTTTGTAAGCACAGAAAGAAGAATTCGGGTCGAATCCGGATGTGGATTTATTAAATCCATAAAATCAAATTGCACCTCCTTTGGCCAAAGATCCTCCACGATTTCAGATCTGCAAATCATTGTTCTGTTAAAGCAGCTGAAACAAAACATTTTAAATCTGGAAATAGCCAACATGTCGTGCTGCGAAAAAAGCGGTTAACATATCTTCAGTCTTGGAAACTCGTCTAAAATTTAATAAGTTCAGTCAGAAACGCCTACATTTTTAAAAGTGAGCATGAAGTGATAATTAGTTGAAGTTGCACATTAGACTGACGTCTGACTTCGCTAGTGGAATAACGAATCCCTTCACAATTCGTTCATTCGTTTCGGTGGCAAGTTGGTACTGGCTTATGCTGGGAAGTCAAGCACGCTTTCTGATATAAAGAGTCATCGAGCTGTGTGCATGCTGTTGGCATGTGTTACTTGTCGGACTAGTTCCGAATGCCTCACCTCACAAGTGATGAATGTGTGGAAAATTTTGATTTTGATCAAAGTCCGTCCATTCATGAGATAACAACAACGTGTTCGCCGCCCAAAGCAGCCCTGGGTACGTCTGCAGCCAAAATCATGGTCATTTGAAAATTCCAAGATCAGCAATTTCCAGTGACTCTTTGACAACAAACTATCTCATTATAGTTCAGTAGTAGAAACGTTCGAGATGAGTTGGAGAGGCTCAATACACATAGAGGACATCACGAAATAGCTAAAATCCTGTAAAGTGATTTTGTCGGTTAAGCTGGTTAGTCTTCCAGGAGATGAAACGAAGTTTCAGAATCACTAGGAAAGATGATCACCAAGCAAAGCGGCACTGGACAAAGCAATTGAAAAAGTTGTCAACTGCGTACTTGGGGAACCAGAGTATGAATTACAGATAATCGACATATTCAGATAACTTTTGATGCATCTTTTATGGCCGATGCCTGCTTCTCATAGAATAACTGTGATATTAACGAACACAGAGCATGTGGATTTCTTGGAAGGTAAGTCATATAAAATCAAAATCTCAGAGTAAAATGTTCATGTGACACTAGTACTAACTGACTCTGTAATATAATTTCTGCTGTTAGTCCTAACATGAAAGGTGACTGCATATTACTCCTGTTGATGGCAAGCTATGTTCCTATGGTTGGCCTGGTGACTAACCTATTGATCATTTCGTTTTCTGATGAGTTTACTAGTTAGCTCAGCAGTTTAGTTACAGAAGAATTTTGCAGTGTTTTAACCGCTTGAAGATATCTTTGGTTAATTTGCTGAGCATCATCACCTTGCCCCAAGTGCTGCTAATCCCGTACCATGAAAAGGTTATCTACCATACTGACTAGAAATTTTTTGTCGAATCCTGAAGGAGGAAATAGCCAACGATTTGGAGATTTTCACGAATCAATCGATTTCAGTAATTTCACGAAGCTTTTTTTAAAAAAATTTTCTAGGTAATCTTTCTTCGACTTCCCAAAAACAGCTCAAAGACAAGGAACTGTATAAATGCTACAGGATCTTTTTTAATCGAACAATCAAAAACACAGTATTTTTAGTCTATTACACCCCTCATATCAGCGGACTATGAAGAACTTTTGGTACTTACAGAGCATAAAATATCACCAGTTTCGGCCATGCACTGTGATACATGTCGATCCCAAGCGAAGTCTTTATGTTGCACTTTGGCACCAC